CGCAAGGGCAGCTGGAGGACAACATTCAGATGGAAGCTGCCTTGTTCGTGTTTCAAACTAGAGCAGCTTTTACAGAAGTTATATATAAGAAGTTGTATAGTTAAAAACCAAGTGTCTAAACAAGGGTCCCTGTGTAAAATGATGCCAGAAATAAAGATGAGCTGAAAAAGGGGAAACTCAAAGAACAAAATATGACCACAATCGTTGATCATTTTCTTTGGGTTAACTGATCCTTCACCCATCATCTACTTGGTTTTTTTTCTTAAAAAAAAAAAAACTCAAAACACTATAAAAATAAATTATCCTGTCTGATTACAGAAGAAAAACCTTGAACCTGAGAATGCCTGAGTAACTTCCTAAGACCCCACTGTCTTGTGAATGTCTTGACAGTTTGAATATAAATATTTCTGCCCCAGAGCCTGGCTCTTCACCCCCATCTTCATGAAGGAAATGAGCTACTTTCTGAGCTGCTTCGGAGAAAGGCTGCCCGATTCTTGAGTTGCTATTAGCATATGCCAACCTTGCCACTAATTTGTCGGGCGTCACCTTAGCAATATGCCTGTAGGTATTTTTTTTTAACTTGAAACCTGAGAGATTCTGATGGTTCCCACCCAGTTCCCCCGGAGCTAGACTGAGGGGAGGGACATGACACTTGAGAAACAAGGATGGAAAGGGTTAGAAACAGCATGATTCTGCGTGGCAATCATTCAGATGAAGACGGTCATGTGCAAATCCAAATAGAAACTGGAATTAAGCCTCATAAATATAAAGGAATGGAAGACGGACTGCTCTTTCAATTCGAACAGTAAACTGTTGAGTCTAAATCGTAGGTTAACCAGACATCCCAACAGCTTCCTCAGGAAGGCACGGCCTGGGAGGCGGGGTGCACGCTTGCCCACCGCAAACATTGTGAGTGAGTGGCTAATCTGAAACATGGTTGTAGTAACTGTTAGGACAAATGATGGTAGTAGGAGTTGACAGTCTATGCCATGTGGAAGAGATGACTTCCCGGCTCTTTATGCTAACACACTCTCTGTGACAGTCTTAGGTGGCATGTTCTCTTTATGATAACAGTTACTGAGTCACAAAACCATGAGCAGCAACACTAGTCTAAAAACTAGGCAATCTCAGCTGGGCAGGGTGGCATACAACCTGTAATTCTATTGCTGCCGTGATTAAGGAAAGACGACCGTAAGTTCAAGGCTGGCCTGAGCTACTTCATGAGTTCAAAACCAGCCAAGGCTAATGTAAGCCTATTGCTACATATGTATTGAGAGCTGAAAACTCTGTTTTCTTCCATTGGTTTGTTCCTTCATTCTTCTATTTTGTGTTTGTGACATTTATTTTAAGTCTTTGGCTCATTACCCAGAAGTCCAGCTGTAGGCTCACGAATGTCACAAAAAAAAAAAAAAAAAATAGTAACATTAAAAACCACCGCACGCACATGATCTCTTTTTTTCTTGTCAAATGCATCCATCCAGACCAGAATGTTAAGCAGATTTTACGTCAAGCTAACCCAAGCAGGAAGCATTTTGCCCAGCTACGCAGTAAACAAAGTCCTTTGTTCTCAGTGATAACACAGCGATTTCTTTGTAACCGCCCACACTTCTGCCCTCCGCTGCTTCGCTTTTTGTTTCTCTTACTTGAAAACTGCCCCGCGTGGATGTCTTCTAGATAACTTTGTGAATGTGATACCACTTCAAGGCCTTTGGGAACGGACTCTGAGAAATGAGTATAGGAAAGCCCGTGCACAGTGCCCAGGGCCAACCTGTGCCTCAGGACGGCACCAGCAGGCTAAACTCTGTTGAATGCACAGCACGTGAAGGTGGCCTCAGCACTGCCGTGGGCCCTGATGCCAATCCTGGTATGGGCGCTTCCTGGGTACACCGTCCTCAGAAATGATCAATCACATGTCACTAGCAGAAAGAGCCTACATAACGACACTCGGTAGCTCTGGACTCAGATCATCAAATGTACATGTGTTTTATAGATGCACAGCTGCCTATGTGTTTAAAATCATCTCCAGATAACGTATAACCCCTAATACAATGTAAATGCTGGCTAAGCTATTGTTGTACTCTATTCTCTAGAGGATAATGGCGAACTATCTATACATGTTTGTAAACGTGCAGGTTTCTCCCCAAAGCTTTCTAATCTGCAGTAGGGCGTACCCTCAGACGAGTGAGTCATGGACAGAGCCAACTGCCTTTCCAAAGGCAGTATGGTTCTATACATAGAGAGGCCAAAGAAATTCACTTAAAAGCTACTTACTTTCGCAGTCTTGTCTCTCTCCATACTGTTTGCATGGGCCAGAAATAACCACTTAATGTTTAATCAAGTTTTTCTTAAATAACTATCAAAGTGGAAGCTGAGTTAGCAAAAGAAGGGCCTTACTTAGACCAGCAGTTCTCAACCTGTGGGTCGCGGCCCCGCAGGGCTTGCATATTGGGTAGCTCACAGATCAGATATTTCCATTAGGATTCATAACAGTAGCAAAATTACAGTTAGGAAGTAGCAATGAAAATAACTTTATGTTTGAGAGCCAGTACAGCATGAGGAACTGTATCTTAAAGGGTCTCAGCATTAGGAAGGTTGAGAATCACTGCCTTGGACATTGAAAGAGGGCATATTAGTTTGGTAGAAGAAACATCTCTTCACCCAAATGGAAATTTTAGACATATGAATGATGTCTGATTCTTCACTAAAATCAAGTATACCTTAAATATAAAGTTGATCAAAAACCCAACAAGAGGCATTCTATGGTCCAGCAAAATTAAAATGCAATTCATGTGCGAAGCACGTAGGTTAAGCTGTGTGCGGTGCTTTGAGAGACACTATTTGGAAGTGTGGCTGCTTTTGTTGGAAAGAAAAGTGTAGAATACTGAAAACTCAGCTCAGTGCTAAATCACATTCAAGCTGTGTCGCATGCCTATAACCCAGTACCTTAGAGGCTGAGGCAGGACGATCCCAAATCCAGAGCTAGCTTGGGCTATGGAGTGAAAATTTGAGTTAAAAAAAAAAAAAGGCATACAGACTATTCAAACAATATGAAAGCTTTGCTGTGTATGAATGTAGTATGCGATATGGAAATGAAAACATTTTCACAAATAGTGTTCCAAGATCTGGGTAGAAATTGGGTGTGGGGGGGGGTGAACTTCAGTCTCTATTTTATCCAAAACTCAAAAACGTTCTAAATCTGTTTAGAACTGAAGGGAAAAACTGGAGATTGAACCCAAGGCCTAACTCGGGCTAGGCAAGTGTCTGCTACCTAGCAGGAAAACAAAACAAAACAAAACAAAACAAAACAGACAAACCTAGCATAGAGGATCTGATAATTAAACGTCAAGAAGTACAGTAACTTCCTGGGTTGGAGAAGGACAATAAAATCATGTAACAGAATCACAGCTTTCTTTGAAAGAAATCTTCAACTATAAACAGGAAAATAGAGGAGTAGAATGAAATTGACAGATTTATCTGTGCCATATCTAGAATATAAAAACCTAGCTGTAATCTATTTTTGAATGATATTGAAATTGTCCTAAAATATACGAAGAGTAAGAAAATATTCAGACCTTAAAATGTGATTAGGCAAAGAAAAAAAAGCATACACAACCCAGACAAACGAAAGGCACACTTACAGACACTGCTTTTTGACAAAGAGGCCAACAACAGACACTGGAGAAAAGACAGCATCTTTAGCAACTGGTGCTGGTCCAGCTGGATGGCTGCATGAGGAAGAATCCAAGTAGAGCCCTGTCTGTTACCCTCCAAGACTCAAGCCAGACAAAATCGCAGCATGGAGGAGGGGAAGTGGGCGCAAAGTCCCACCCGGCCCCATGAAGCTGTTCACAAATGGGAGAGGAAAAATCAGCTGGGTTAGATCAAACCCACTGCAGTAGGCCCATAGTCAGGATTAGCTGGCCAATACAAATCAGCCTCCGTGCTGATAGTGGCTGTTTGCTTTTGCTTTTGTGTTTGTTTTTTTTTTTTTTGTCGTTAATTTTTACTGCTGAGTAGTACGCCATAGTGTAATTGTACCACATTTTCTTTATCCATTCTTCAGTTGAGGCGCAACTAGGTTGTTTCCAGGTTCTGGCTATTACAAATAACATTGCTATGAACATAATTGAACAAATGTCCTTGCTGTATGATTGAGCATCCTTTGAGTATATGCCGAAGAGTGGTACTGCTGGGTCCTGAGATAGGTTGATTGCCAATTTTCTGAGAAGCCACCATGCTGATTTCCAGAGTGGTTGTACAAGTTTGCATTCCCACCAGCAGTGGAGGACTGTGAAGCTGGGCCTGTAGGAAACGGGGAGGCTCTGACAGGAGTTGGGGAGAAGAAAGAAGATAAAACTATCAGATGAAATTTTCAGAGAATAATTTTAAAAAGAAATACAATTAATAAAGAAGTCCACGGGAAGTATGACTATCATGACATATGAAACAAAAAAATTTGCAAATTGCAACCACAAAAGGATATCATTTTCCAGGTGTAAAAGTCACATTCATGTTCAACAAAGCGCTACGTGTGACGGCTCTAAGGAAGCAGTGTGTCCAGTAGCTGTGTAGAGGAATGCAAACACCTTAAGCCAGAAAGATGCAATTCACCTTGGGTCCATGTTTTTGTAGCACCGGGGATTGAACCCAAGCCTAACTCATGTTAGGGAGGCACTATGCTACCAGTCACCTTCTAGGTTGGCTTTCTGCTTCCAGTGCTCTTTCTGTTTTGAGCTGGGATTTATTTCATCGACTTACTCAGGCTAGCATTGCATGCGCTCTGGAGCCTGGGCTTAGCCTCAGCTTGCAATCCTCCTGCCTCAGTCTCTGCACAAATGATATTAGAGGCCTAAGCCACCATGCCTGGCTTTTGCCTTGTATTTTAAAGAACTTTACCGGAAGTATATGAGGACTGTAGACACAAAGGTGTTTGTAGGCATGCTGCTGCTTTGAGCAACGACTTGGGAAACATGCAAACGTCTCCACACATGCTTCCTCTTGGAAGGTGTGCTTGGCTCCCCAAGTCCTGCCTCCTTCCCTGCAGGCCATTCGGTGTCCCTGTCCATCACTGGCAGGTCCTCCGTCTTTGGTGTAAGGTCTTGCCTATAGAAAGAAGAGGCTTCGCAATTATTTCTTAAATGAATGAATGAATCAAACGAATCCGTGTTAAACAGCAGCAGATGTAAAATGGTTCTTAAGGGAATCTAAACGCATTAAGTTACTAATTATGCAAACTGTGTTGCAACTTGGAAAACGCTTCAGGACAGCCGAACCAAGTGGGAAAGAACAGGGGCCACGGCGGCACATGTGTCGTGACTGCAACAGTGGTAATAAGAGCTGCAGGCCCATGGACGAACCCAGGAGTGTAGGTGTATGGAATATTCCTGGTGTGGCTGTGGCAGTCCTGACATTGTGGACATTTTGATCTTTTAAAAAGCATATTGGTTAATCTCCTTTTATAATTTCCCAAAAAGATGAGAGGAACATTTCCTGGGCTTTAGAGGTATAGTACTTGGGTACCAGTCCAGGCTCCACTGTTGACTAGCTTGTGACCTCCGACCAATAGCTGGAGCCCTTTGAACCTCAGTCTTCTCATCTATTAAATGGCAAAGATAATAGCTACCTCGCAGAACTGTTGTGAGGGATGTATGACCTCACGCATGTGAAAAGAGTTTATAAACTATAAAATTCTCTATTAATCTAGGATACCATTATGACTAAAGCAACTTTGGTTTCCTAAGCAAAATTACCCTTTTCATTTCCTCCAAATTGTTGTATTTAGTCATATCCATGCAAAAGTAAGTGCGAAATCACTGGAGCACCATACTAACTGTGACTCCCATGATAACACCACACAAGCCTGTTGTGTAGCTCCCCGAGAAAAGATGGCTTCACAGGAGGTAAGTCGAAGGGACCTCTGAGACACTAGGAATGATGGGGAAAGAACCCCCAAAATTAGTCCCAGTAAATCTATCACTAGCACTTATGTGTTAATGATTTAATATTCAAAGCTGAAACACTGTGGAAGGAAAGTGAAGAGATACCTTTCCTTTTCATTCCCCCGGACACACAGTCCTCCCCCCCAATGCACAATGACAACCAAGTCTGGGTGTGCCCCCTGGAAGGATTTATGTATATGCAGACAAATAAACAGTTTTAAACACATTACTCAATACACCTTGGTATTATTCTTTCTTTTGCATCTGTGTTTCAAGCACTGATTGGCTAGACCCTTATTGAGAAAATATAGTTATCAATTCCCTGCCGATGAAGGGGCCTCCAGGTTGTTTGCCATCATTTTCTGTGCCCTCAGAAGAGGGTGGTTCCCTCTGCCTTGAGCCACAATAAAGAGTTGGAGCATTTCAAGAGCCATCCAGCTTTCTCATCCCAACACTTGCTTTTCCCAACAATGAGACAGACTTTTTCTGCACTTTGGTTCAAAACCACATGGCTCAGAAGACCTTAGTCAGTTGTTTTGTAAACGTTGGTATAATTTCGTGGTTACGAATCTGAGACCACACTGCCTGGATGTACAAGCTGGATCTTCCCACTTAGTCTTCAAATTGTCTCCTCCTCAGAAGGGGCATGATAATAGTACCTGCCTCACAGGTTTTATAAGGCTTAGTGGTTAGAATACAGTGACTCGTAGGCCCAGCGTCTTTCAGAGGGCATTTGGGAAGGAGTAACCCAAACAATAAAAGTCGTGTTTATCTCAAGAAATTATGTCCTGGAATGATGATTCTTAAAGTGGAGCCTGTGGACCAGTGGCGTTGCCTGGGAATCTGTGAGATCTGTGACCCTCCTATCCCAGACATGCAGAAGGTGGGATCTAGCAAGCTGGGGTTCAAGAATTCTTCTAAGAAATTCTTGTGCACACGCTAATTTGAGAACCATTGCTTTGAAACATAGAATGTGGAAGAAGCAGGTGATTTTAAAATACATTTATATCATTGGTACCTGAAAACCCTATTCATTTCAGGGACACACAAGGAGTTGGTGAGGTTTTACTAATGGGGAAAGATGCTCATAATACTATTCTCTGGATCTCAAAAATAAAATGTTTTCTTTTAAACCACATTTCTGAGGTTTTCTTCTTAACTCTTATTTGCTACAAATTTGGTGGCCTTGACAAATTCAGGAGAAAGACTTCAACATTCTACTTCAAAAGAAAAACTCAAAGTTTCAAAATAAATTCTCTCTAGATACAAAATAGGAATTAACCTCGATGATATAACATAGCCATTTTTTTCCATTCATTTATTCATTCAGAAGCCAGCCACTGAATAGCAACCACATTTCAAAAGTATTCCAGGCACTTGGAATTCTGAAAAGAACAAAACGGTGAGAGAAAGATCTGCCCCTACCTATGAATCCACTACACAATCTAGCCGCAGAAGATAGCAACATGGTTTAGACTATACCTGTGCCTCTAAACCATTGTTTCTTCTAGTATTGTTCTGGGCTTCCCTGAGTCTTGACCGCTCAACTCTCCGACCAAGAAAAGCCACGGTGCTGTAATGTGCCTGGGGGATGTCAAACAGACCCAAAGGCAAGTCCAGCCACTGGGTGAAGTGAAGTGTTTGAGAAGGATCCTGCAGTGCTATCTGGTTGCGATGAAGGGTGATGCTTAAGAAAGAAGGTAACACTGACCTAAATAAAGGTCTTTACCAGCAAACCTCCAGAGAGTGTGCTCTGCTTTGAGACTCTGGAAGCTCCTCTCGACATTTCATGGATGACAAGACCAAAGCCTTTGACTCGCCTTTCCCCCAGGGTCTGTCGCCTTTCCCCCCGGGGTCTGTCGTTCTTTTTTCTCTTTCTTTCTTTCTTTCTTTCTTTCTTTCTTTCTTTCTTTCTTTCTTTCTTTCTTTCTTTCTTTCTTTCTTTTTTTTGTACTTTCCTTCCCCACAAAGCCACTGGGAATGACCTGGCTGAATTCAGAGCCAGGGTACAGTAGCTTCTTGATGATAAACACATCAGCATGGGAAGAGTCACTCAGCAGCATCTGTGTTGAGGCCCATGTGCCCCACCCTGATGCTTGCTCCCACTGGCTTCAAGACACCTGGCTCGCTCCCAAGTGTGAAGTAGCAGGCGTGTCTTTCTGTGTGAGAGAGCACACACTTTGCCCTTTGCTGCTTGGTGGTGTTACACAGATGTGAACAAATGGCCCCTCACCTTCCACTTCCATGACAGCCAAACTCTCGAGGTAAACAGAGAAGATTCCCACTGCAGACTTTCTGCAACTTGAGAGGAGACCAAGTGGGCAGCATGGTCCAGGGGCCTGGCTCCCTGCTTGGGTGGCCTCTCCATTTCTTTAGCAGGAAAAAGGTGTGCATGCAGTTCCTAGATTACTCCTTGTTTATATGTCTCTCCAATAAATAAGTCCTGGTTCCCTTTTGATGATAAAGTATGTTACTGCTCTAGAGAAATCTAAAGAGATCAACGGGCTCACATAATGAGCAAGAGTCATAGTTTGGAATGTGTCATGCAGAAAATCTATTCCATGTGCTAAGAAAAAGACCCTGGGATTCTAAGCCTGAAAGTCACAAACTTTATTTACAGACAGTTCTCTTCAAGAAGAGCCAATATGAGACATTTCCCAGAAGGTGTCTCTTGGGAGTAAATGACATTTACACTGATCTTGATTTGCTCGATGTTAGAATCCACTTTCTCCCAAAATTTAACTGCTTTATTTTATTTCCTCCTATTTTACCCCTTTTGTCAGTAAAATGAGTTCAACACACTCTGCTTTTGATATTTTCAGATATTATTTGAGTCTACTTCTTGGCTTTCCTTGCTCAATATTTCTATTGTTTGCACAAGTTATTTTAGATTTCAGAACGCTAGTGTTAAGCTCTTGCCACACTCTTACTACCAACAGAAAAGTGGCTAATTCTAACACACACTCACATACACACAGGCATGAACACACACACTCACACATCCCACACAATGTGCTCACACATGAAGACAAACACACATACACACACACCACACACAAGCACGCATGTGCATGCACACAACATGCACACACATATACACATTTGTGCATGTGCCCTCTGTCCACACATGAAAGCACCCGTGTGTACATGTGACGCATGCACACACACGATCACGTGCACACACACACACACTTTAGTCAAGTTACAAACTGGGAATTAAATTAGTGTTTCCCATAAGAAAATAAATTGTGAAATTATTGGGTTTCACCTGGCTGACTGTCGTTTTAGACCATTGTGACTTCTGATGAAAAGGGGAGCTATTCTCAGTCACATCTGCCATTTTTATAAAAATATCAGCTTCCTCCTCGACACGCATGACAGAGGAGACATAGAAGAGGAAGGCTGACTGATGGGATCTCTCTTTTTGCTGTTCATTTTCCTTTGAGAGGGGCGGGGGCAGAGAAGAAGGTGAAGAGAGTAAAGAAGAATAAGCAGAGGGAAGCGGCTCTGCCGACTCCTCGAGTTGGGAGTCTGGCTTTCAGAAGTGTGTGAGAATTCTCTGGCAGTGTTTATTCAGAGTGGACGACGCGCATAGAGAAATGTGGATCAGCAGGCAGCATCCCTGTGGCTCCGGCGCGGACGTTCGAGCCTATGGACATAATACACAAGCCAGCTCCATTCACTGGCTCTCGGCGCAGCTTTTACAACAGGTCATAAAAGAGAAAGTAAAGGTTCATTGTGAAACAGTTGGCACACATTTAACCAAGGTTAAGACAGGCTGGCACCAGGGTAAATTCACACCCATTTAGAATGGGTCTCGGTAGTGATCCAGTGGTAGAGGGCACCGCTAATAAAGAACTTCAAAAGAAGAAAGAACAAATTACAAAGTGCAGATTAGTGTGTGGCACTTATATTTTTCAGTTATGGGGAAGCTAGATTTTACTTGGAAAGATTAGGAAATTTCACTATTAGCTCTAGCTCGGCACTCCACACTAATGAATCTCACACAGTAACTTTTGTCATTAAAAATAATAATAATAATAATAAAACACTCTATTACCTCCACACTATTTGACTTTTAAAAGAAATGAAATGAAAATTGTTGAGATCTGTGAGGAAAGACTAATCTTCCAGATCTATATTTGTAAACATTTCTCTTGCAAAGACGGAGAATTGATAGATCTTTTTATGTGCAGTGACCATTGATAGATCTTTTTATGCGCCGTGACCCTCGGAGCGAGAACTGAGTGCTGCCTTCATCACTGTGCTATAGGTAAAATGCTTGGTTTCTTCAGCTTTCAGTTTCCAGTGAACTCGTTTCCAACACTTGTTCAGTTGACTTTCCTCTGCATGCCTCCTCCGTCCCACCTTTCCCTCAGAGTAAGAACAGTGGTCGGGCCTCACTAAAGACCTGCATGGCTCCCACTTCCTCCCACCCTTGCTTCCTTCTCCCCAGTCTGGAAAATTTAATCCAAAACATTCTTAGGTACTTTTGAATTACTTAATGATCTGGATATAAATCAAAGTTGACAGCTGGCCCCTCAACGCCAGTCTCTCCATGAAGAGCACAGAGTGTGCAGACCACATGAGCTCACCATGAAAAACGCGTCCCCTGCATGCAGACTCAGAGCGTTACAATGAGACGAGCTCTGCTTCGCTTAGCTTCTACCAGGAGAGCTTAGATGGTTACACACAGTGGAGAAGGAAGGGATTGCAAACTGCTGTGGCTGAGGCACTTTCTCCAGTTGTTTTCTGTGTCGTCTTTAGTTGTGAGAAGGTTGGGTAAATCAAACTCTCTGTGAGACCTCAAAGATGAAAGAACTGGATTAAAAGAATTGGCTAAAGAATCCAAATGTAGCAACTGCCCTCTTTTTACCAGAAGTCCTGTGAAGTGTGGGTCGTGACACACTTACTTCTGTGATTTTTATGTGCATTTCAAAGCTGAGGGAATGTACAGAAATAAATAGATATTGTGATTTGAAACTTCCATGACTTAGTATTATGTTTTGGGATGGCAGACTCCCATCATGGTATAAATGAAAGTTGTGAGTTGGTGTCATTTCACTAATGCCCCAAGAATTATATCAAACATACACAAATATCCCAATACATACACAAACAACGCAAAACTTGGAAATCAAAGATTCAGTGTGGTTTAACTAGAGAGACAAGACTTGGAGCTGAAATAAGGGATGCTGTCAATCAAAACTTCAGTCCCTTGTCTTTGTTTCTTACACATTTTCAGTACCTTAGCACTCAGAGTGTGGTACCACACCAGCAGGATGGACATCACCCGAGGCTTGATGGAGTAGTTGAAACTCTACCTCACTTCAGCCCCATTGCATTTGCATTTTAACAAGATTCCCCAGGGATCTGTGTGTATATTAAAGTCTGAGGGATTGCTTAATGGATCCCTTCCTGTTTTTATACGTTAGCTATAAAATTATTTTATCCTCTTAAACTTCCTCACCAGGAAATTAAAAACATGAATTTAACAAAAGGAGAGCACTTATAACTCCCTGGCAAAGCTATCAGTGAAGTTTTCTTTTTGCCTTAGCTTTGGAAGATGGCACAGTTCATCCACAGGCCAAAGCACAAAGAGAGAAGCCAGCTCAGCTTTGATGCAGACGTATTCTCTCTGCAGCTTGCCTTGCACAGTGAAGGATTTCCCTCCAGTCCACTGCCTTATTTTATATATTTAAATATTTTCCCAATATTTTCATCTTAATTTTTTTTAAAAAGGACCAACTAACCTAAAATGACTATAATTAATTGACCAAGATGCTTCATTCTTCCAGAAATTCTAGAAAGTTTGAACACTCCTGGGAGAGCAAGTGTTTAGGGACACTCACTGAAGATCAGTCCACTCCACAGATGCTAACAAATTCAAAGACAGGAGAGGGGCCAAATACCCTATTATCAAACTTTCTCAGAGCCTTCTCTTGCCTGTTCAAATTAAAACAAGGATTGGGGAGAACCCTGTTTGAAGTAGAATTGCCCCTCTTTTTGCTCTTTTTGCAAGGACCTTGAGACAAACCTGCAGTTGAGTTCTTCATGACGTTGGGCACTGGGCTGAACCTCCATGCACAGAGTATTTCAGAGGTGGAAACATGGAAACATTCTGAGGAAGGAAGGGCCGGTATTTAAACACTTTGTTTTAAAGAATATGGGAAAGCACCTATGCCATTTGTGAGTTATGTTCTCCAAGGAGCAGGATTGGTGCCCCCTCTGGTTAACTCAGCCCCCTCCTTTCCAACAAGTACTTAGATATTCTCAGGCATTGCAAAGAATCATTTGGAAATGCCTCCTCCCTTGGCTTTATTTTATTTGTTCTCCTATACAAGTACTAACCAGGCCCAACCCTGCTTAGTTTCTGAGATCACATAATTCAGAATCCCCTGAAGGACGCACGAACGTGCGTCTCACTGCAGAAACACCACGTCGGAGTACAGTGCAGTACGTGGGGGAGAAGCACCTCCAAACAAACATTGTCAGCAAGTCCCCTTTCAATACTTGTAAGTCTCTGCAAATACTTTCAAACTGGCTGAGTTTGGGGCTCTGAACACACTTCAGCCTGCAAAGCATACCCTAGCAAAGTGCCTGATACCTAGATTGAAAGTTTGAGTGAATGTAAATGGTCTGAGCATCTCCGAGGACCCAGAGCCAGCTCAGGTCTTTTCTCCACACTGAGGCCAGGAGGATGGTGTTAAAGTCTGTCAGTGGATACCTTGATATGGTGATTTAAATGGCAGCGCTGTGGCTCTCCCACCAGATGCTCTCCACCAATTTAAAGGGATTTCCAGAACCACTAGCTCCCACCCAAGGAGGCAGATCAAACGGGCAGACAGAATGCACGTGTAAGCTAGAGGATTGTAGACAACCCCTAGGCTCTGGCTAGACTACCTAAAGCACCAACTTTCCAACAAGTACCTTCCTCATTTCTGTTTGTGGTCATCTGGTTACTGCTGATTGTACCCAGGGTTGCTTTAGAATCTGGGAGCACAAAAATTGTGTTCTGAATACTTAAAACTCTCAATAAAAAAATGACTGGATTTAAGATCCCCATCACAATGTAAATTAAACTGCTCTGGCTGGGCACAGCTAGTATTTTAATTAGTGAATAATTTGTTTAATATAACAAATAATATATCAAACAAAAAGAGATGAGGAAGTCCATTATGGGCTGAATTGCACCATAGAATTGCTACCTGCAACTACTGTATACTTTATATGTGTCATGCAAACAAAAACACACATATTCAAAGATTTGGTACAAAAATGTAAAATATTTCCTCAGTAACGTGAGTTACACACTAAAATGATGAAGACTTCAGTCTCTAAATTCACTGTATTCTTAACATAAATTGATTTGTCTTTTTCTGGTAGAAAGGGAACATTTATATGAATAATAGGATAATAGAAAATGCTCCCCCCCTCCACGATCTCAACCTTCAACGTTGTAGGAGACTATTGATATGAGCTTTAAGATAAGCTCCGAAGATGAGTAGATCAACAGCACACGCTTTAGGCAGCACGGACAGTGAGAGCCCCTTTTGAAAGTTGTTTCTTTCTTATCAGTTCTCCATTGAAGCCATCAGACTTTCAGCAGGCTTTCCCACTAAGCCCTCATCTGGACACCTACATATTATGATCAATAGTCGGTAGTCTCAGGTTTCACTTAATGTGAGACTTCCTCTTTGAGGTCCTGTATTTTTATAAAAATACACAAAGAATAAGGTTTCACTTCAAAGGAGTAATAAAAAGAATGTTATGTTTGGCCCGAGAACTAAATGATTTCCATCCTCGTGAGAAGCAGGCAGCCATAGGAATAGAACCAGAGGTTGCTTTGTGACCTCGATGGGTAGCCATTGGGTTTTTTTATTTTGTTTTTTACCCTAAAACGAGTGATTTTTGCCCCTATCAATGACTCACAACTAGCTCAAATCAGAATGAGACAGTATTGTCCCCTCCATGGCCGGACGTGAACAAGTCTACGGTGCCCAGCCTCACCACCCAATCTACAGAGATGCTAAAAGGGTCCAGGATTCTTTGAACTTCAGTGCACAGAGAACCACTTTGTCCCCTGATTTCTTCTAATCTGTTGCCCATGGACACTTGTTATTTCTAATCTAGTTGCTCTATTTGGTTTGTTTAGCTTTTTCCTTATAGTTTAGGATCCAAAGTTCTTTAAAGCATGTGTCTGAACACCTTTATTGAGATATAATTGTGCCATACAATTCATCTGTGTTTCTGTGGATAATTCAGGAAGAACCAAAAATCGTGCTCACTCCACCAGGCAATTGTCAATACCAGATTGCTAAGCCAGAATCTTCTGATAACAGCTAAGTTAGGCCAAGACAAACTGGAATGTACAGTATGTGGTAGAGATATGAACCAATATTTCTCACCGGTTTAGAAACGGCAGTCAGGGGCTTCCATACACACAAACTTCATTGCTATCGGCATCAATATGCTGGCATCTCTAGAAAGGCATTTGAAATTTAACAAAATTAAAATCTCGTTAATAAATTTCACACTTTGTACTTGTTGCTAAATTTTCTTTCTAGCTGATTATTATTTGAGGAATAAAAAGAAATGGAGAACCGCTGTGCAGTGGGTACAGTTTTAGTTCCGCAAGAAGGAACAAGTTCAAGAGATATGCTTACACTGTCTATATTTCAGTACTACAATGAACACTTGGAACGTTATCAGAAAGTCAAGCTACTTCCCACTCTCTCTTCTGTCAGTTGCAGTGTAACCGGATTTATGTTGAGGTCATTGATCGACTTGGATTTGGGTTTTATACACGGGGATAGATATGGAACTATTTGCATTCTTCTACCTGTCGACACTCAGTGATGCCAGCACCATTTGTCGAAGACGCTTTCTTTTTTTCATTGTATGATTTTGGTTTCTTGGTCAAAAACTAGGTGTTCAACATTCCCTGCCGGGCACTGTGCCCCTGTGTCTGCGCTCTGTCTATGCGCTATTACCCAGTTCGTGAGTTTCGGGCAAGGGGCTGGAGGTTGAGAATACAGACGCAGACCGACACACGCAGACCTTTTAACACTGATTCCAAAAGCCCCAAGAAGGTCCCCTTTATTGTGTTCAGGGGCAGATTCTATAGAGATAGCCACGCCCCAGCCAAACGCACCAGAAACCACTCTCCTGCCATCAGGAACGCCTGAAGGGCTCGTGCTCAGAGCAGCTGTAGGCACTCAGATCAGGGGAAAACAAGTTGTTTACAAGAAATTCAGGATCTGAGGTCTCACTGGTCCCAACAATTCCCTATGGTGGGATTCCTTGCTCAGCCTTGATATGGGGCAGGAGAGGCTTGGTTCTGCCTCAGATTGGTATCCCAGACCTTGTTGATGCCCCAAGGAAGGCCTTACTCCTTCTGAGGAATGGATGGGAAATGGGAAGGGAGGAGGTGGGGGCAGGAGAAAGGGAGAGAGGAGGAACTGGGGTCAGTATATAAAATGAAAGGTAATTTTTAAATTAAAAAAGAAAAATTCAATATTAAAAAAATCTTTATCAGAAGATAGAGAGTGGTTGGGATTACTTACTTTGAAAAAATGGGGTATGCTCATAAAAGCCTGTTAGTGCCTAACTCATTAGAATGGATCCACCCAACCTCCAACTTTTTCTTCCTCAAAATGTAGAAAATCTCAATATAAGTGTACGTAGGTAGATTTTACCTCTTCTATCTGTCCGTGGCTACTCTTTGAGTAAAAGAGCTAAAAGTCAGACATGAAGAATGGTAAGAAAATGTCACATCACCCAAAGCTAGACAATCCATCTTAAATAAAGGGTGCTACACTTCATAATTTATTCTAAATCTACAGTTAGGTCTTGTAAGAATCAAACAGCAGTCTTTTCTCCCCAGAACATTCTAAGGAAGAGAGGCCACCCTCAAAATGCCACCCTGCCATGAATGGACACCCACGCACACCACTGGTCATGGTTTGCTTTCTTAAATGGGAAAAGTTTATTTTATTGCGCTGCTCCATCGAAATTATTTATCTCATTTATCACACAGTTCCTGCCTAGCGTGTGTTGCCAGAACTAACATGCATGAAAATTATGTTAATAGGCCTTGGGCTGGTTTTAATATACTTCATATAATCAAGAAACTAAACAAACAGAAAGCATTCTGAAAGGTGTTCATTCTCCCAGGAAGAACCGCTTGCTCTCACAAGACACGTTTTTTGAGGAGAGTGATTGCCAAGGCTCAAACCACTAGCAGTGCCCTCCGAAAAGACTTGTTTATTCAGAGAAGCAAACAGACTGAGGGGCCTGTCATTGTACCCCCCACTTCACCAAGTGCTGTAGGTTTCCATTAACCAGTTGTGGTTTCGTGGAGAGAGACTGGAAAGTGATTTGGAAATGGCTCAACCTGAAAACTAAACAAGAGAAAAACTGAGTTTCATTTTTTTTCGGGAAGTTTGCTTGGAAGAATTGCCCGCTGCCTAAGGAGACCGGTGTGTGGGCACACAGAGATGTCACTATGACGCCAACTTGGTGGTCCAGCACAGAGCACACTGACGTAGGGAGAAGGCGTACTATAAAAGAGCTCTTTTTGCTACTTCTGAGAAACGAGTGTCTCCAGATTTACTACATGATGGGCCCACATCATCATAAATTTGCTCCACCAGCAGAGCTTGTAGAGAAACTCCATTAAACTTGCTTAAGAACTAAAATTTTGAAGAGGATATTACTTTGAATATTTATACTCATGCTGATGTTCCTAAACAACGGCCGACATCATTTCCAGAACTGGACCATAGGGGTGGAAGAAAAATGACACCTCATTTGCCATGAACAATGTCAAAGAAAGATAACACCAGAGAGAATCTCTATATCTACAAGGATAGAAACACATTGATCTGTTTTGTTGTTAGCACTTTTGGTCATATCAGATGGAGGGATTGAACATTCAAGTCTGTGAATCAAACTTAGTAGCCAAAACACGTGACCTCCGAGGGACTTCTACATGCAAACGTTTGCTGACACCATCGTGTCTGTGCAGTGGACCTTTGAACAGGTATGGAATTCAGTGTGATATGAAAAGCAGGATAACTGGTCCTAGGCTTTAAACCAAGGCTTTTGTGGGCCCCCCTCT